TCTGAATAGTGCAACTAAAGTATCATTTTATGTAATACAATTAAAGTCTTTAAGAACAACAACACAATACACACAAACACACAGTTTATATATAGATGATCAAGTACACATAAACATCCTCATTTACAACACAAGATCATGAAATACCAACTACTTTGCATCTGTCTGGGCAGTTCCATGGAAGGAATGACCTCTTGACTGCTGTCACAGGCATGCAAGCCTTGTAGTCGCTTCTCCCAGAATACCTGTATGCAATCAAACTATGTCAGTATTTTATTAGAAAAGATTTACTAATACAAATGAAATATTTTACTTACAATAATAACATTCACAGTCCATGTCAACAAGAAAAAAGCTTGCAACAATATCATTATCACAAATTTTAGGTGATAGCAGTAGTGAACTTTATGTCTCCGTTTATTAGGTGGCGCTAGGTTTTGCATGCCCATTCTTAACAAAGAAACAAAATAGCGACTGCACTTATGGAGTGTACCCTCAAAGAACAATGTGCTTCTATCAGTGGTTTTTTTTTTTGGGAGGGGGGCGGGCAAAAGGGCTGCCTGCAGCGGGTGGAGATGATTAGAAATGACAGACGAGTAACGGTTGACTCTGTAGCAGCTAGCTACAACAGGATGTTCACATGGTTCAGCATAAAACATATTGCATGATCGATTAAAATTTTTAGTCTACCGAAAACCCACCTTGGTGGGTGACACTTCGCGAATGACGTAATGTGAAGCGAAAATGTGGTTTAGAAAACAGAGCACGCAGTCTATGCAACAGGTTTGGAAGGACTGATAAAATGATGGAAAAGTGCATCAATGTTGGTGGAAATTATGTTGAAAACTAAAGGGACAGTGTACGTGAAAAAAAAATAGTTTTCAAGCTGTATCATCTTTTTTTTTTTTTTAAACAACCATTTGTGACTTACTTACTGACTTCCCCTTGTAATTAAACTAACCTAACCATTGCATCCTTTGAAACTGCCAACTACTTGTTTACGCTGGAAACTCAGCAAGAGGTATGTCACCATGCAACAAACTCATCTGTGAGCTATAAGGCCCAATGTCCATCTTTAATGTCTCAAAGATAAGTGCCGTACCACGACAAATACAGGAAGCTACAGAACAAAATTTTGGTTCTCAGAATTGAATAATTTTGGGGTAGCAAATGATTTAGAGGCTCAGTGTTCGCCCTTGACTCTAAAAGTTCATATTCTAATGAGGTAAACTGTTTCCAAAAAATCACAAACGGGCACACCCACCCACCTGTTTGTTCCTTGGGACTGAACAAGTAACCTTTTCTGAACAAAGAAAATATATTTTAAGCGTTCAGTCTTCTTATTTCCGTTCACCGGTTGTAAACTCCTGCAGAAACTTCCAGTTGTTCGTCCACTTTTGGATTTTGGTCTTGTTCCAGAACTCAAATTTCGTGCCAACATCCATTTTACAGATCTGGTTTATTTGTAAACAGACTGTTGGTTCCTTGTCTCTCAGGTAGATGCACTCCAACATCGAAGGAACACCCCAAAGTTCTATTCCTTCAGGAAAACAGTGCCTCAGAACCCACATGGGAGATGTGTCCAGTAGGACAATGTTCAATATTTAGCCAAAAGACCAGTAAAAAAGTCTCTACAACACGATAGTTCTATATCCTTTCAAGACTTGCAAACAAACCCCTGAATTTATTGGGTGCTTGTGGTTTTACTAGGCAATTTGACATTCAGTCGTTTGCCACTGCCTTCCAAATGGTACAATGATGATACCGATGACAAAATGTATGTCAGGATTGCAAAAGTGCACCAGAACATGATCCTCTTTCTACAATCTCATAACTATTCACAATCTTCTGTCTCCTGTACTTTTAATCAGCTCTGACACAGATGATCTTTTATGATATGATATCAATTTGTCAAGCATCTTCTCTCTGTCTCCCTCTGGCTTATTCCCTTTCCAGCATTCCCACTGCCACAATGTACCTAGTTCTCTCTCATGACATGATCAAAGAATGTAAATTGTCTCCTCCTGATGTGAGCAATAAGTTCTCTTTGTGAGTCAGTTTCTTTCAAGACATCTTCATTACGTTTTTTTATGTGTCCTGGGCATTCTCATCATACATCTGGTACCAACAGAACATGAAACTCTATCATAAACATAGCACCGTGACTGCCCTCAACTTATTCCTGTGCATTTTAAAAAAATGTGGTGATTTCCTCTTGTCTGCTAAATGTCCACCTAAACAATTAATAGTCATTTTGAAACATTTCAACTGTAAATATGCAGGCCAGAAGGTTGGGGTTTAAACTTGCATCAAGTCGGTTTTTTCTTAAAAAATGACCCTGGCTCCCAGGTCAACTCAGCTGAAATGCGCACCAGGTCTTGGGAAGTAATAACTGCTCTGTAGTTAACCTTACCTACTGAGTGCCAGTTGGTCTATAAATACAGGTGTTGCACAATTTACACAAAACACATAAGGGTGTTTAACCCTACCAGACCGCTGGCCCGGTTTCCCAGGAATTTCATAACTGTTCTCCATACCGCTGGCCCTACTTTTCAGCTATTTCGGAAAAATTTCGGAAAATTCAGAATGAAGCGAGCGGCTGATGAACCAAGTTCTAGGCTTTACACAGCCCAACAGGTGATCGATACTTTGGTTTATTCAGACTCTGTGATATATATATATATATATATATATATATATATATATATATATATATATATATATATATATATATATATATATATATATATATATATATATATATATATATATATATATATATATATATATATATTCATTATCTGTGATAATTTCATAAAGAATATGTTCTTAAAGTGACACTGTCAGTGAGAGCGCGAATGATGAGGACAATCTTGAAAATTATCAATCTTGAAATAGATCGATAGTAGGAGGAGGGGGTGTGTCCATCAAACGGCAACATCTGGTGTTCACTTTGTGAAACAAAGTTGATCCTGATGAGTGAATTCGCACACAAAGGTGGAATTTTGGCGCTAGATAAAAGGTAAGCCTATTTTCTACAATGTCTCCAAGTTTCATCATATTCTAGCCACTCGTTTGCATGTAACTAATATTTTTGTATATCATGTTGGTTTTTTTGCAGTAATGCCCAGGAGCTCAGGTTATAGGGACAGTTAGGTTCAGGGCCTTAGGTCTGGTAGAGTTAAAAGGGCCCTTTTATACTGTTACATGTTACTATACCTGTTTCGGCTGATCTTGTATGCCATGTTTGAGTTCTGCTTTAGATGTACTTTCCTCTCTGTTTCTTACCACAGTCACTGGCTGCTTAAAAATGGATGCAGTTTGCCTGATTGGCAATATTAAACTTGCATCATGGCGGACACCTACAGAAATAAAACAAAATTAAGTACTATTATTCTTACACACACACACAAAAAATACATTTCAAATGAAACTTTGGAAAAGGGTGGGGGGGAGGGGGGATTTTCTTTTGAAAAAGCTATGAAATATTCACATGATAATAAATTATTTTATCTTTTTTTCACTATCCAAGATTTCTTTTTTTTACCTTCCATCAGTTGAAATTTACATAATGACACATACTTTACATATATATTACATAATGACATAGCAATACTATTAGAATTGTTTGGTACCAAGGTTTATAAACTGCTCTACGCAATTTTAAGGTATACCTTAATAAACAAAATTAACAACCTGATAAAAGCAAAATAGTATGAATGCAAACAACAAACAGCTCTTTTTCTCCGTGGTAATAACAACAATAAATACACAATTTGTAATGTAGTGAGACAGAAAATGTAACGGTATGGACATGCAATAAGATCTAGGGGGCTCTTTAAAAAAAACCACTACAAAGCTCAGTAAAGTGAAAGAGGCAGACCAAGAAAGACCTGGATACAGAACTTGGCTGACTGGGCAGGCCTTAGGCATGCAACCATGAAGTCCACTGTGTCTGAACGCCAAAAGTAGAGGGAACAAATCAGACAGTCAACAGCAACTGGTGACCCAGTGATACACATAATTATGGGACAATGATGGTGATATATCAAACATACCACAACTGTATATAGTAACACAATTTCTTAAATAAAGTATAATACTGGCTGAGTGGTTACAATGCCCGGCTCTCATGCGGGAGACCGGAGTTTGACCCTCAGCAAGGTGATGGAGTTTTTCCGTCAAGGGTAATATAAATATCCTAATGTGAACAGTCCGTGGTGACAGCACTGGCCAGGCGGCCATAGATTCTCAGGCTCAGCCTCTCCTCCCTTTTCCCCTACACTACCCCAAAAAGAGGTAAATACATACAGTAGCGACAGTTATATCAGGACGAGTGAAGGACTTTACAGCAAGGTTTTGAGACCAGTGAATCAGTTTATAAGAGCAGATACCTTAATAACATGAACGACGAGAAATTGTCAGATATGACTTGTTATATTTACAAGTTGGCTTCCTGCAACAAACCTCTTGCAAAATCATATGAAGATCCTTTAATTCTCTTGCTCTTTCTGCAGGCACTATATACAGTACGACCAGTGCGAAAGTCAAATGCACTTAGGTCAAAAGTTTCACCAAGAATCCTGGCTAACTGTGGCTTGCTTCTGACCTTTTTTCCATCAGGTCTGGATTAAATGAAAAAATATTTAAATAAAATCAACAAAAGAATATCACCATAATCAAAACAACCTTCAGGATTTAAAAATGTAGTAGGCATTTAATAAAACTGTGCCGTCTCCACAATAAAGACTGGCCACAGTGCACTGTCTGCTGCTTGGGAATATATTATGAGGTGAGGCGTCAACCTCGTCTACCGTGCTAATCCGAAAACCATGAGCGGGGAATTTTTGTAACAATGAAACCTTTCAGCATTTAAATCAAACCCTGTACTTGAGGATTATGAAACTATTAAACGTACCCACTAACCTCTAAGTTATAGAACCACGAGTATTTTAAAACACATTTTAAAAGCCCTGTGAATAAATAAGTACTATGAACAA